ATGAGTTCAAGTTCATTTAGCTAATAAATGTGGTTGCTGGACTTTGAACCCAGGTCTTTCTGACTTTAAAACTTATGCTCATTCCACTACTCCAGGTTTTTGTCCATTCAACCTGGTTGTTATTTGATGGGTCAGTTGTATTTTCCAGGATTGAGGATGTTTGGCTCTATTTCATCTTCTGATTGAAGATACCATGTTTTTGACCCAAAATCAAGTTTGTGGTCTCAAGGCTTATTCCCAAATTGGAGACATATTATTCAAGGTATCTAGGGACTGATTTCAACCAGATGGTTCCTGTCAAGGATTACTGGGCCAAATTTATACCAGAGTCCATAAGTTACATGATTCAGAGAACAAAGGGAAGGGCATAACTAAAGATAAACTTAGAGTAAAAGCCCTAAAGTGGGAAAATAAAAGTGGAGGAGAAACCCTGGAATTACTATTACTACTCTTGGCTTTCTAAAACTGATTCTTTAGAATCTTTCTAGGGAAGTAAGTAAAGACAGATCTTTAAAGCAAATATGTCATCTTTTTTTTTCAAGAAAATAACTTTAGTACCCCAGAAAAAAGTTAATGGGGAAAAACCCAAAATATTTTTATCACTTTAACCAAGATTGGGTAAATTATATGTGGTTATAGCATTGAAAATGTTTTAATATATTTTAATCTCTATAATGGGTATAGACATGTCTCTCTGAGTTTTATAATTAAAGATGATTCAATAAACAGAAATTAAACAGAAAATCACTTGAATGTTTATACAGAGGATATGACTTGGTTTAAAATAACTTTGTTCAATAAGGTAGACTAACACTCAAAGAGTATCATTTTTTTTCAGAGTTGGTTGTATCTACACTATTTAGTGTACAACTTAGAGGGTAGGCATTCAACCTATGAGACTTAGGGTATTTCCTGGTTCTAGCAAATTAACCTTTTTTACTTGAAATGACCCCATTTCCCTCAAATCACCCAAAGATATTAGTTCTTAAAAGTCACAGCCGTAGCTCCATACTCTAATGTTAAACAAGTTAGCATATTCTATTTCTAAATATCCAATTTTAATTTTTAAAATAATATAGCATTTCAGGTATCAGTTTTGGACTCTGTCTGAAGGCTAATCTAGCATCTGAGACCCTGGACACTAATGACTATCTTAGCCTCTCCTTGTGAGGAGCAGAGTTATTTGGCTGGAGCTTTTAATATTATTGGTCCCCAACTACTGATAATTAATAGCCTGTTACAGAGAGATCAAATTCTGGCTATTGTAGATTGTGCTGCTATGAACATAGGGGTGCATATATCCTTTCTGATTGGTGTTTCTAGTTTCTAGGGAAGATCTCTCCTTGCCCTAGCTGGTTTGGCTTAGTGGCCAAAGCGTCAGTCTGCAGACTGAAGGGTCCTAGGTTTGATTCTCGTCAAGGGCACATGCCTGGGTTTTGGGCTCAATCCCCAGTGGGGGATGTGCAGGAGGCAGCTGATCAATGATTCTCTCTCATCATTGATGTTTCTACCTCTCTCTCTCCCTTCCTCTCTGAAATCAATAAAAAAAATCATATCCATATATATGTATGTATATATATATTAAAATATGAATATATACAAAAATATGAATACATATACAAAAACATGGAGATATATATATATAAAAGATCTCTCCTGGCATCTCTCCTGGCATCACACTTGGGATAAGTGCAGAGAGCCCATGAGAAAGCAGTTCAATATTTTTTACACTTTAGCATACTTGTAGTGGGTCCTTTTAAACGTGTTTAGATAATTGATAAAATCTGCAACTTCCTGAAACATACAGCTCTTCATTAAAACGATATACTGATTGATTGTTTAGTAAGTACCTATATGATGAGTACTATGTAGGCACTTTAGTTCACTTAATCCTCATGACTCTGCCATGAGAGTATCTCATAAGTTAAAGAAATAAGATGTTTCAAGATGCAAGAAGCACATGATGATATCACTTTCTGTTTTTAAATATATCAACAAGATTGTATTGTATTTATGTTTCAACTTCCTCACCAAAATATAAAGTTTCATATAATATATGAAAACTAAAGCTCACAGAGGTTAACCCACTTTCCAAGACTACAAAACTATGCATCTACAAACCACATTTATTTCATGGGAAAACCTATAGTTGTCTTCTATTATCTTATTGTTGGTTCCTTTGCTGTGTCCTTATTTACATAAAACTTCTAAACCATAATATAAAAAAGATATGAATACATATAAACCTTAGGATATTTAAGCTTTCAGTACCTAGTTCATTTTACATATTCACTTCTTTTAATAACTGCTCCATAAGCACATGACTTTCTCTCTGAAAATCTTTCAAAGATCCAGCTGCTTGTCCATCCACAGTCAGGAACAGCCACTTAAGAGCCTGGGTGTTAAAAAGCTCTCATTACTTCTCCCCTGCCTGTTGGCTCCATGTCAAAGCTTGGCACCTCATCAGACTGTAAGCTCTCTAAGCTCTTTTCCTCAGTCCTGGGGAACAGCTGTCAGCAGCAGCTGGGAGAGCAAAGCTCTTTTTTCATCCTCCTCCCAGATGTTCTCTCTTCAGGATACTAGAAGCCACCTCCTCAATAAGACCGTGCTTCCCATGACTGAGCTTAACCACTCAGATCAAATGTGTGAAAATAGCTAAATGTACCAATTAATATGGTAATCTATAATAATGAAAGTATAATATGCAAATTGACCAAACGGCCAAACAGCAGAGCCACCATCTCGACAACCACACTATGGCACATGCTGGTGCCAGGCCAGCCAAGAGGGGTGTGATGCAATTGGTTGGGGGGGCCACCATCGCTCCATGATCACTCCACAAAGGGAGGCCCAGGCCAACCTCTATGGGTGATTGATCAGGGGGCTCTGCAGAGCCGGGGAACTAGGCGGGTGGGCAGTGGATGCTGGCAGCACCAGGCCAAAGTGAGTGTAGGTGGGGGTGGGGCTGCAATGGCCCCAGCAGCTGGGGCTGTGAAGGCCTACCCTTGCACAAATTTTGTGCATTGGGCCTCTAGTATCTAATAAAATACTACTTTGAACATACTTATTTCTTCATTCATTCCTCAACTAATATTTGTTGGGCAATTTCTATGTGGTAGGCCATGGAGTCAGAATGGTAAGCAAAAATCAGTCTCTATTTTTATGGAATTCAGTTCACTCTAAAAACTGGGACAGATCTGATGATGTCTTAATTACTAACTTGCAGTTTGCTCTTAACTATAAATCGCAATGATTTATTTTTCGCAATGTAATATTTTTTAAATCAATCTTTATAATAAATCCACATTAGTCAATCATATGGCTATCTCATAATTGATTTATCTAATTCCATAGTGCGGGATATTTATTTCCATTTTATTCACTCACAAATAATCCTCCCTTGAACATTCTTACATATATAGTTTTGTCAACAGTCTGGTTAATTCTTTATGATTCTTTATGATTGGATTGATTCCAGGAAATGGACTCGCTAAATAAAGGGGCATAAATATTTCTAAGGTTTTTGATACAGCTTACTAAAATGTCCTTCAGAAGTTGTATGAAATTACATTTCTACTATGGTCTGACTAGCCATCCCATGTTTTAATCCTTCTGTTAGGGTAATACTGGAGATCGGTTGCTACACAGAGCAAAAAGAAAGGTCTTACTTACTACATTTATGCTGGCTATAGGTATAGACAAGAGAAAGAACTTAATTATAAGAAATAGGTACTTAAAAGGTAGAAAACCCATTTCTATGTTGACTTGCCAGGCCTCTAGCTGGACTGCACAGAGCAAGCCTAGAGGTGGAAGTCTTATAGATTAAGATAAAAGCAATGGATTAAAGCAAATGTGAAAATAACATTGGAGAACAAACATGTTTAGAAGTCTGGGAATTCATCAAAATGACCAGGTTGTTTGCTAACTGATACAGTAAAAGATCCAGTTGTTTAATTTATTACTTTTCCAATAAGGAATATTAAAATATTGGCTATTTAATTCTCAATGTCCTAAGTTTGTATTTACATGCAAGTGGACAGGGTACTGAGGGCATTCCACTTCTAAGAATCAATCATAAGGAGTTAATCAGAGATGTTGAAAAAGTTTTATATTTAAGTGAAGTAACAACAATATATTGGGGTCTTTGAAGGTAAGGTCTGTGTCTCATTGATCTTGTCATCCCTGTTAACTATGTGAGGATAGGCATGTAATAGGTAAATTATATATGTCTGTTATGTCCACAATGACTTTGTGTATAAGATTCTCATAATCCTCTATTTATGGGTAGGACTCAAGAGAAAGATATAGTCAGTCAATTTAGATGATGAAATCACTGAGAGTGTATTTCCTGGATGAATCAAGAATGTATGGGGATTAACAATATGATCTTTAGCTACAATAATATAGTTACTCACAGATACCTAGGAAAGATACTTTCTAATGATATATTTAGCAAAGAATCAAACTAATTTTCTACAAGATGCCCCAAAATGTCATTAGATTACACTGGAAGTACATTTCATGCTTTAAATGACTTATATTTAAATACAGCTAATAAAATAATAAAAGTGAGTTACCCTATCAATAATCTTAAAAGTTACTCTTCTACTTTTTCTAAGGTTCTGAGTTAGTTACACAAATTAATCAGTTTTGCTGTCTTTTTTTATTTTTTATAATTAGTTGGAGAACTGCCAAATCCCCAGTCATGGGTCAAGAAGGATGAATTTTTAAGTGACTAGGAGATTAGCTATAATAGAATTAAACTTCAAAAAAAATCACATTTTCCTGCTATATCAGTAAAGCTAGAAGTTTGTAGAATAACTTGGAGGCCTGTACCTTGGATACTTGAGCTAAAAAAAAAAAAAAAAAAGATAAAACAATACTCTACTTACCGTGATGTATTATAAAAATTTGTAAGTTCTTTTTGAAAGATGCATTTATTTCTGTGGATAAAAGTTTAAAAATATAGAATCATAACCATAGCATTTGGAGGTTCTCACCTGAGTAAGGAAGGGTGGAAATGCGATATGCAAGAAAGCCAATGTAATGGTTGCTTAAAAAGTGGCTTTAAGGAATGTGAAGCAGAATCATCTATGTCATGCTGAAAGGCCCTAGGGAAATAAAAATAATTATTTCAGTGTACATAGGAAGCATGTACAGTTTTTATTTGACCATTGACAGTTTTTATTTTTACATAGTATTCTATGGTAATGATTTTTTTGTATTGTGCTAGAATGAACAATGCATCCATACCATCCATTAGGGATTTATGCCAGTAGGTGAGTCACAGGCCTCTAGATAACAATCCTTATACTTGGGAAGGTTATGACAATGCCATTATCATTTAATTTTTTAAAAACTCACATTATAGCCAAAACCGGTTTGACTCAGTGGATAGAACGTCGGCCTGCGGACTAAAAGTCCCAGGTTCAATTCCGGTCAAGAGCATGTACCTTGTTTGCGGGCACATCCCCAGTAGGGGGTGTGCAAGAGGCAGCTGACCAATGATTCTCTCTCATCAATGTTTCTAATTCTCTATCCCTCTCTCTTCCTATCTGTAAAAAATCAATAAAATATATATTTTTAAAAAAGAATGAAAAACTCACATTATAAGATTTGTCAAAAATAAACGTATGAAGAATAATAGTACAATGAATACCACTTATCTCTCTCTCCTCAACTTAGATCCAATAAATGGCAATATTTTGTCACATTTGCTTCATTAATGTAAAAATGTTTAGTATAAAGTTTCCTCTTTTTACTCTTTAAAGAGATTTACAAAAAACTAAACAATTAATGAACATTTATAATTAATTTTGTATTTTTTTTAAAGGCCCACAGAGAGCTTGTAAATAAGAATTTAAGTGTAAAATATTTGCTTATTACTTCAAAATCTGAGCAATTTGGCCAGACTCCCTGGTCTCCAACTATCTTTGGAGAATTGACTTTAACATTTTTCTAGATTGGCCCAAATTCAACAATAAATCTTGAGGAAATGCGAAAGAATTTGCTACATAAAATCTTTAGTAGATAGTCAGTTTAATAAAAAATGTATAGTAACAGGAGGCTGTATTTGCCCACTTGGAGTTAAGAGCAACAATGGGACCACTTTAGAAATAGAATTGTTTGAAGTGGTACTATTTCTCTTACTCTAAAGTACAGGAGCAATAGCATCTTTTAGGTAATATGTAGGACAAAATTTCATTTTAGTCACTGTCTTTTCATTTCACATCCTGCTTTTTGTGCCTTTGCATTTTCTAAATTTGACCTCTTTCCTATATGTCCTATTAAGTAAAACATCTTCTGATTAAGAATACTTAGACTTTTTTTTATACTTTTAATATATATCATCTCCTCTTTGAAAGCCATTTTTCTCACTAATTTTCAAAATAGAAAAAAACTCCTTAAATAGGTTTCAAAATCAGGTAGTCATATATCCACTCCATGCATTCCATTGTGTGAACTAGAGAGATAAGCAGAAGCTAGTCAGGATACCAGAATATACTTTTCTAGGGAGTCTGGATTTTGATTCAGCAATGAGAATTCACTGAAGAGTTTATAACATGGGAGTGACACCACCTATTTGGTCCTAAGGTTAGAAACAAAGGGATAGAGAATAGGAGACAAATGTCAATATAAATTAAATTAATATGGTTAACAATATTCATCCCCTAATGACATGTGGTTGGAGATGGCATGAGGGAAAAGCAGAAGTGAAAAGAATTGAGGAAAAAGAAGATGTGTAAGATGACTTGCATATATTTTAAGTTATAGATATGTTGAGGGAGCTGCAGACAGTTGAAATACATTCAAAAAGAGACATACAACAGGAATTTGGGTTTATTGATCTAACCTATACAAGAGACATCTGGGTTGAAGATACTGATAGGGGCATTATTAGCTTGACAGTGAAGCCATAGGAATGGGTAAAATCACCCAAAGAAAAAGTATAAAGTGAAAAGATGGCCAAGGAAAGAACTCCAGAACACAATGATATTTAAAGGGTGAGGTGAGAAAAAGCACTCAAATGCAACCAAGAAGGAATAATGAGAGAAGCAGGCAAAGAACCAGGATACAGTGACAATAGAAAAGCCAACGGAAGATAAATGGCTAATAGTGTCAAAAGGTGCAGAGAGAGTTAGGAAATGGAAAAACAAAAATTGGAATTAGTGATTGGGTATGCATGGATAACCTGACCCATGTTGTTTGTTTTGCAATATGAGGGCAATTGCAGTGATGTGATTCTATTAAAAATCTAAATGATGAATGTATTGAGTAAATGGTAGGTGTCAAAGTGGAGAGAATGAGCACAAACTATACTTTAGGAGGTAAAAACAGTAGTCAAGAAGGGATACATTTTAATGCAGGAGAATTTGGGGGAAGAACCAGAGTGGAAAGAACATTCTGACATTATGGAATAGGATGTAAATGTGGTTAGGTGAAAATATTTGCTTTGGTTGGGAAAAGAAATACATTGATCTCCTGTCAAAGAATATCAAGGTGAGTAGGGATCGAGATAATTATTAAGAATGGAGATAAAATCAAGTGCATTTATGAAGGTCTGGGTTTTCTCAGAAAAGTACAGGCCATCTGCTAACAAATAGTGGGATGGGGGCTTCATAGGGGGTTTGACCAAAGTAGGTGATGGAATAGGACAAAAAGGTATTTTATGTTGTCAAAAGATAAAAAAGAATAGCTGAGTGTTGTTGTTTTTTTTGCCAGTGTTCTAGAGTCTTGGTAGAGAGGCCAAGAAAGAGAGGTGCAGAGCAGGAACACGCAAAAGGCAGAAGGCTAGAAAAGGGTTTGGTATAAAATGAGAGGAGATGCAGCAAGTGGTCTGGAAAGAGAGTCTCAAAGGAAGTGACAGACAGGGGGGAAGCATGGGACAAAAAAGAAGGGGCTTGGTGAGAGAGCAGGAGGAACTGGAGATGGAAGGATCACAGCCTCTGCCTACTTTGCCTACCTCTCTGAGCTCTTTGCATGAATTCCATGTGTCCAGTTATCTCTGGGCCACCCAAGTTCTCTAAGAATAAATACCTTTCCTACAGTGTGCTGTTATTTTCGGCTAGCCACTGAAGATCATTAAAGGCAGTACATAGGCACATGTAGGAGATCTGGAGCCAGACAACCTGGGTTTGCATCAAAAGTGTGCTTTTTATTACATGTGTAATGTTGTTTTTTAATTTATTTTGCTTCAGTTTTCTCATTTGTAAAATGGGGATAATAATCACAATCACCTCAGTGTGATGATTCAGACAATGCATATATAGACTTAGCCAACTACGTTGTATATAATAAGGACTCAATGTATGTAGGTATCCTATATAAGAGAGGTAATATGCAAATTGACCCTCATGCCCTCACAAGATGGCTGCCTATGACTAGGCTGACAGGGGAGTTAGTGAGGGAAACCAAATGATTGAACAGCAGGCTGCATGGGGCCAACAGGCCAGCAGGGGGGGTTAGTAAGGGCCGACTAAATGATGACTGAACAGCAGGCTGCATAGGGCAACCAGGTCTGTGGAGGGAGGGCAGTTGGGGACAATGAGGCCAGGAAGGGGGGCAGTTAGGGGTGACCAGGCTGGCAGGGGGGATGCAGTTGGGGGCAACTAGGTTGGCAGGGGGGGCAGCTGGGGGCAGCTAGATTGGCAGTTAAGGGCAATCAGGCAGGCAGGCAAGTGACCAATTAGATGCCAGCAGTCCAGGATTGTGAGAGGGATATAGGACTGCCAATTTAAACTAGCAGTCAGACATCCCCCAAGAGGTCCTGAATTGGAGAGGGTGCAGACTGGGCTGAGGGGACCACCCCCTCATGCATGAATTTTGTGCACTGGGTCTCTAGTTATTGGTATAATGACAGTTGTAAATACTCCTAACGGTCTATGACTATCTCAAAATGGATGTGAAATTCCAAAAGTCTAAATGGTTGCCTAGTTACAGTTTTATCCTCAAGTTTAGAAAAATAATGGAGTATCTAATGATAATGGAATGGTTATTGGTTCCAAATTTTCTTAGACTACAAATCACTGGCAATCCAATACTTCCCAGAACATTTCTGCCAGTACCTAACTTCTTTTACTTCACTGATGGTTTCTCAGATGTACTGGTAATAGTGAGAATATTTGGCTATAAGAAATGTTATGGCAGATGTTTATAGTCTCAGAGGGGGTGGGATCTGTATGAGCATTTAATTCCACAGCAAGATCCCAAATTAGTTTCATTATTCTGGAGAGTATAACAGGGTGAAAATTGGCCCACAAGCCTCAATGGGAGAATGAAATGATGAGCTAGCTATTAGATAACCTCTAATGATATTTTGGTATGCAGTTAAAAGAGAGGATGCTCTAAATAATTCATAGTGAAGAGGAAAATATAATTGTATGAGCTACAGAATTATATTTTTCAGCAGACATAAAAGAATTTTGACATAGCAAACTTAAATACTCATTTTAAAATAAGTAATTGTCTATTGGTTGAAGCAGAATACATGTACTCACATCCCCAAATTAGCATATTATAACGATGGCTTTGTTAAGGGAATAGAATGAATATGGGGAAATTCTTTGCCTTTGCCCTTTTCCCAGCATCAAATAGCCCAGGCCCCTTCCCTCCCATTAATACCATAAAGCCTCTGGGCTCATCACACCTCAACACTTGAGCGCTCTATCCCAGAACCAGCCTCCTGGTCCTCAGATCTACAATTATGCTATCTTCCGTCCCTTATTGCATTAATAAATTGATTTATTCCTTGGACTCATGCAGCCAGCTGCTAGAATGAAATAAATCCAACACACATAAAAAGTGAGAACAAGTGATAAACTAAAGAGCTGGCTGGGTTTTATGCTTCTCTTATGCACCCTGCTTTTGGCTGCCCTGCTAGTAGAATTGTGTTTCAATATACAGTATAATGTTAGTGAAATAAACGCCAAGATGGAAACAAGGCAGCCCAAGGGTCAGGTCAGATGTCTTGTGTCATCTGTGCCTACCACAGTGCCTGAGCCATTAGAGGGGCTCAGTAAATAAAAATAGCAAGAAGTTGAACTGGTTTGAAACTAAACTATTGAGAAAGCTCCGGAATACTTGAGATAACTGAGGCCATGTAAGCCTTTCG